AAGAAGATTTGTTTCCCTAAAATAATTTCCAATCCAAAACCAAAAAAGTTATTATTACTAAAGATGAATACAGGTAATGATCCAAGGAATAGTCAAAATTTTGATGTATGACAAAATGGCGGCTTCCCAAAATAAGTCGTTTGTTGTGAAAACATTTACATTCCAGAGTCGCTTAAAAAGTCAAGTTTGTTAACAAAAAATTGTATTCCTTCGATCAAAATCGGGCAAATATATCTGAGAAGCTTGTGTAAAAATTTGAAGTCGATCGGCCTAGAAGTTTCGGAGGAGTTTTCCTCACTGGCTCTAACGTTTCGAAAAAAACGCGTTAAAAGTTTTGGGTAAATCGAGTTTTTGAAAGACACAAGTGGATATAACCCCTTAATGCAATGATTTCATAATGGCACTACTTAATTCAATATTTTATAGCGAAGACAGAAAATCTATGCTTAGACACTTGTTTTTATTATTATTTATTTACTTAACCAATTTTAATATGAAGAGCAAATCAACTTTTTAGCTCTGCCTTATATTATTTTTCTCAAAATTCCAAAAATATAAACTGCGATAAAAAGCTTTTACTTTGTAGGAGCATATTTTCGAATACATAGAGCCAAATATATAACAGAGTAATTTCCAAGAAATTTCGTATTAAAATGCCGATAGTTAAATATTTTGTGCGTCAACTCTTGATAAGAGTTTCCTGTTAAAACCAGTTTTAAGAAAACCCCAGAAAAAAAGTGTAACTTCGGTTCCAACAACTAGTAATACCCTTCACAAATACAAAAGATTCCTTAACAGCTGTATGCTATAGTTTTTCGATCTGAACAATTTATTCGGGAATTGAATTATTGCGATCGTTCAGTTTGTATGGTCGCTATATGCTATAGTATTCCGATATCGGCAGTTCCGACAAAGAAGCAGACTATTGGGAAGAAAAGGATGTGTGCAAAATTTCAGATTGATATCTTAAAAAGTGAAAGACTAGTTCGCGTATATACAGACGGACGGATATGGCTAGATCCACTCAACTTGCCGCGCTGATCATTTGGATATATATAATATTTGAGAGTATCTCCGACGTTTCCTTCTAGGTGTTACAAACATCGTGGCAAACTTAATATTCCGTGTTCAGGGTATAAAGATGCGAGTATATATTTTAAATATTGATTATTGGCAATATTTGCGAGTTGCGGACGTCCCGTGGCCTTATAAATGCAAAATATAATACATACAAACATATAAGTTTCTAAATACAAGCGTTTATATGTATGAAGCCTGTTATATATGCAAGCAGTCCATATTTACGCACGATTCATATTTAAATAAATAATTAAGTGCCTTTTGTCACAGGAAACCGCTTAACAAGCGCGATAAGTAAATGAAATATTAACACTTTTAAATTTACACCTTTTTTCGCGAACTTCAAGCGTTACACTTACAACATTTCATTTCGCTTTTCAATTTTTTTATTGTGCTATTTTCGCGCTTCATTTGCAAAGCGACACAAGAAAATAATAATAAACACAGCAGTACAACAACAACCGTATCAATGCAGCAAATAAAAGGATGTCCGTTGGGCAGCAGCAGCAACCAAAGGTGAACGCGCATTGCAACATCGCAGTTGGCATTAAAGAGGCATTAATATGACAAGTGTGACAATGGCGCAGCAAGGAATAAAAGACGCAAAAAAGATCTCAACGCTGCATTCGGTTTGCTACCTTGCAGATGATGATTGAGAAAAAAATGCATAAGGCAACGGGCTGCAGTCGTAGATACCTTGCCAACGTCCATCCGCCGGCCGGACGGACGGACGAGTAAACATTTACACGAAACTTCGCGAGCAAATGCACCAAGCAACATGTGTAAATAAACAAGTTGGCTTTGTGGCTCGATGGTCGGGCGAAGACTTGCATATAGACATTGGTACACAGAAGAAGAGACTCCCTTCCTTTCGTAGGTTTTGCATGTTGGCTTTACGTATGTACTCGCTGCGTATAAAATGCAGCAAAGAGGATTGCACCGCACGCGTTTCAACAATTAAAAGGAGAAGACATCTGTGTGTGTGCCAGCTTACGTGTTTACAAATAGGACCTGCTTGGCAACAGCGCTTAAGTTGTTGATATGCGCTGACAAGCGATAACGCGCGGACACCTACAAATTGATTCATGTTTTGCCGACGGCTTCACATACCCGCGAAAATAGTAAATAAAAAGCAAAAGCGTTAAAATCGACTGCACCGAAGCAATAATACCCTTCACAGCAGCATTTCTTATGGCATAGAGGGGTATGAAAAAACATTTACTTTTATATACTAATATCAGTTTATATAACAGTTATACACTACGTGGTCCGATCTGAACAATATATTCGGAGATTATAGTGTTCTCTTGAGCAATAAACTGCGCCAAATTTTGTTAAGATAGGATTTTAATCGATCAGTTTATATGACAGATATATGCTATAGTGATTTCGATAATGTAGTAGCTTCTTTGGGAGAAAAATACGTGTGAAGAGTTTCAGATTAATATTTCACAATCGACTTAGATCGTTACGCTGATCATTTATTGATGTACTTTATAAGGTCTCTGACGTTTCCTTCTGGGTGTTACAAACTTTGTGGTAAGCTTAATATAGGGTATAGGATATAAAAAAGCCAATCACGTACGTAAAGTAGAGCATGTGTGACTGAAATCGTTTTATAGTGGCGAGAAAATCACAAAATTATCTTAACGGCAGCTCTGACATATATTTTGATTTAAACCAAAAAATTCCACTATTGTTATAAAAAAATGATTGTTACAAGAAGAGGCAGAAGAAGCATTTACTGGCCACATTGTTTTTGTTACCAAAATGTCAAGTATAAAATAGTACATTCACTTCTCGATAAATGGAAAATAAAACCTTTAACTAACAAAAATCTTTTTATACCCTGCACAGGGTATATTAAGTTTGCCACGAAGCTTGTAACACCCAGAAGGAAACGTGGAGACTCTATAAAAAATTTACAATACATAAATGATCAGCATGATGAGCTGAGTTGATTTAGCCATGTCCGTCTGTTCGTCTGTATATATGCGAACTAGTCTCTCAGTTTTTGAGATATCGAATTAAATTTAGTGTATGATCGTTTCTCACCAAGAAGCTGCTCATTTGTCGTCCCGGCCGATATCGGACCACTATAGCATATAGCTGCCATACGAACTGAACGTTTGGAATCAAGTGCTTGCATGGAAAACTTTTTCATTTGACGAGATATCTCCAAGAAATTTGGAATGGATCTTTATCTAAGGCAAAAATGGAATCTTCGAAGAAATGGTTCAGATCGAATCACTATAGCATATTGCTGTTAAACAAGCTGAACGACCAGAATCAAATTCTTCTAAGGAACCCCTTTTATATTTGTGAAGGGTATTATAGTTTCGGTGCAACCGAAGTTAACGTTAATTCTGGTTCCATCTAATCGAAGGCCATATCGACTTTTTGCAGCAACAGCAAAATGTAAACAAAAATATACACAGCTTTATGACCCCAATTAAATTGGTGAATAAATAAATCTGTTAATGGTGCTAAACGAAGGTATATACTACATATCGTCACTTAAAATATAAAACGACGTAATAAAAAAATTAGGAAATTGAGTTTTTTATTGATTACAATTCACTACATCATATTACATATATGCACAAAATTGTAAGCGTCTGCTATCAGTTATAATCAGGTTATAAGCTATATTAACATTTTTGAGTAGTTTCCCTTTTACACAGTTTTTTTCGTCTGCAGTAAACTTTTAAAAACTGATGTTATGTTATTTTGCAGTTTAGGTGACGACTTATATTTATCTATGTCGGCAGTTATAACTGATTAATTAAGTGATTACCCTGTAGTCAATCAAGCTATGCTGGTACTATTTACTTTTGCTGAGGTTTCTGCTGTTGTTTTTTTAGAGTTCAAATGCATGTTCGTTTTCCGACGGTGCATCTACAATTAAAATACCTCGAATTGTTAATTGTATTTCAATGGTTTATTGAAATTATCTTGGCTTTTATTATTATTTTTTTTACTGCTAATAATTTTTTAACTATAAATAGTTTTATATTTTTTATTAAACATTTTCAATATCTAATATATTTGTTTATTAATTAGTTGAAATAACAGTTTATATATTTAAATAGTAATATATTTATAGAATTTATAGAAGTTTTATAGTTTTATTAATTTTTTTTTCTTTTATTTTTTATTTGGTGTGCTCTTTTCTGTTTTTTTTTCATTATTTAATTTTTTTTACATATTTTCTAAATCAGGCTATTAAATTTATTATATTTGTTTTTTTTTTAAATGTTTCAATATATTTTTTTACATATTTTCAATTTAATTTATTTATAATTTTGCTTCTTAAAAGTTAGTACACGAAATAATATTATTTGCATGTCATAATTATATTACTCGATACGACACTTACACTTCATTATAGTATTTTATAATATTTTTTTTTTATCTTATTTAATGTTATGTTATATAAATTAGTTTATCTTTTTTATATTATTTTTAATTTCTATTTATGTTTTTATTTTTAGTAATATATATTTTACTGTAACTTTTATTATTTTTTAAATTTTATTTTGTTTTATTTTATTATATGCATTTTTTTATTTTTTGTTTAAACTATTTCCATTGTAGGTATTTTTTTAATTAATTTTTTATAATATAATTTTTTTTATTTTATTTTATTTTTTATTTTTTGTTTTTTATACAATATTTTGCATTATATATATTTATTTGTCTTTTGATGTTTTATTTAATTTTGTTTATTCGATTGTTTCAATGTTAATTTAACACTTGGCATAGTCTAATGTGATTTATTTTTATTTAATTTTCACTTAAATAAAAAAATGTTTTTATCGTATACATATATACTTCATTTATTTATTTATATTTTCGCATAACTCTGTTTACTTAGTTGAAACTTGAATTACTTCCAAATTACTAAATTTTTGACTCACCTGCATTACCCAATAATTTGTTGATGGCACAAATTGATCGCCAATTATAATATCCGTATGCATTTAATACACTTTCCTATAAACTCCGTTACGTTTGCTTTTGAGCTTCGCAGCAGCAAGCTGCCACTTTGACAAATTTATCAGTAATATTTATTTTATTTTATATTTTTAATATTTATTGAAATTTTCAAGTATATAAACACCAAAGTCGCCACTACGTTTTATTTCATTTAAAAAATATTAATTTGTTTTAAAAACGCATCATTTAGAAATACATTTGTTTATTTTAAAAATCTTGGTATTCTTCAGATCACTTAACGCTGTTATGTCAAAAAATTTAATACACACATTTAATACATACATATATGCATACGTTTGTTGGTTGTAAAGCACTATTAAGGCACATTTGCTGTGGGGAAAACAATTATTTATAAGAAATTATTACTGTTTAGCGCGTCGGATTTTGGAAAATTCGTGTCTCGCTTTGTTGCTGTCAACATAATTAGTGTATTTCAATTTCAATAATTTTTCATAAAAATTACTCAAACGCGCCGAAGTATTACTTTGGTTGAAATATATTGCTTTTCCTTGGCGGCCGTTTAGCGACGGCTCGGAGTCTGCCTGCTCAAGCTCACCCACGCAAAAGCACAACGACTCACAAATTCGCATCCAACTTCCTGCGTTTACTTTGTCACTATGCACAATTCATTGCATTTGCTTTGGGTAATTATTTTCTTACGATTTGTTCCCCCTTCAGCAATCAGATAACTCACTTTCTTTACTTTCGCAGGCATTCATGCAAATTACGCAAATTGTTGTTGCAATTAATTAATATAATATTATTCTTTTTACTTAAACGCGACGGCTTGCAGGCGCTGCAAACACCGAAAGCGCTTGTGGAATGTCAATTGCAATGCAAAATTTCGAAATTCACACAAAAAAACACTTCATTAAAATATGGAATATCGTGAGTACGTAAGACCAATTGTCGCCCCTGTGCTTGGAGTGATGGTCGGTTGATTGGCGAGAAAAGCGCGTCGAAGGTGTACGCGACGCGATCAGGAAATGAACGAAATGCGAAGAAGAACCAACCAACGAGTCCAACTAAAGCCGAATAGTAAGTCACTCAAGCGCCGCCGTATGTTTCATCGTTGTCGGTAACCGAGTTCAGACTGATTGGACAGCAGTGCTTTGCCGCAGACGTACCTCGCAGCGCCGTGTTGCTGTTGCCTTTTGCCTTTTGCTTACCTGCCGTCAACACACATACAAACATATAATAAATGTACGCGCTTACATACACACACATGCACTCGCCTGCACGGCTGGCTGACTAAATGTGCTCGTATCATACGCGCTGTTGTTGTTATTGTTTTGTTACTTCTTCTTCGCGTTGACTCAAAACGGTCGCTTCTGCTGTCCGCCGTTGTTGTTGTGTGTTGTTGTTGCTCACCTTTTCCATTTTTTATACAGGTGAAACATATACGAGTATTTTAATTTTATCCACTGTAGAGAGCGAGAGTGACCTGACAACAACAGTAAAGCAAATTATCAGAGAGCAAAGCGATATTTTTAAACGTAGCAGAGTTTCGGAGCGTTGATCAGTTATTGTGCCTCTTACCGGCCGCACAGTTAGCCTACATCTGTAAGTCAGCCTGAGTAACCACCCTAATGGCTATTTTAAGCCAATTCACATTGCAAAGAGCTGCTCACCAGGTGAGTTTGTTTTGATGTACTGTGGGACAAATGTGCAAATATCAGCGCGCTAAGCCTTAAAAAGAGAATGAGAGTGACAAGTATTGGTTTGAGAGCAGCGAACTGGTTTCCATCGTGTATAAGAGAATTCCGTAGTATGATAATATATACAACAGTAAATATATAGAAAGCAATGTTTGAGTATTATCTACATATTTGGACAACAGCTGAACTTCGTTTATCAAGAGATCGAAATGATTGGTAGTTGAGGCAGAAGAAATATACATACATAATTTGCTTTAATAAGTATATACAAATAATCATGCATGAAATATATACATAAATATATTTAATTTATAATCATTATAAATATTTAACGTAAATTTTACTCCTTTATTCCTTCCTCAAGGAGAGTGTAAAGCTGAGAAGTCATAAAACATATAGTTACTTGTGAGTCAGTACAAAATTTTACTGACTAAAACTTAAGTGTAACACTTCATTATAATCATTTTTAAAGAAGAAAGCGCTTGAAAGATGAAATCGTTACTATAACAATGACTGCACTCCCGAGGCATAATGACTGCCATGTGGAATCTTACTTGAAAATAACACACAATTTCGAAACTAAAACATAGGTGGGACTATATTCTATAAAAATATGTATATATATTTGTATATAATTAGAATAAATCATGGTACACGAGGAAGGCTGTGAAGTAAACATTAACTTCGGATATTTTAAAAATTATACCTTAAGTTATGAAACATATGGTTCCAAAATCATACTTACACATCTAAATACATATATGTATATATATATATAAGTATGTATTCGCCTTATTTTTTCATATTATTTGCTTTAAAAAAACCATCATCTACTTCTAGCCAATTTTGTATTAAGTAATTCAATCTTATTGTGGTGTTTACGGCAACTGAAGAAGAACTTTTTCTTGTTTGAGCAACACAATCTGGTTGATCCTAGAATCCAATCTCCAAAATCTTCGCCACAAACACGCAGATTTTTTGCGCTTGTTCTGTTTTCTTTACCAGATTAGTTTTAATGGAATATCTCTGTAGAAATGTCAAAAATATTATTTTTCCAATTTCTCCATCCGTATCTACTACTTAGTCTTTATAGACAATTTACTTCCAATTGAAAACAATTCTAGTATATCCTTATTTTATTACTTATTGTTGCCAATTCAAAATTTTAGATTCAGTACCTCGTTTTCCAAGCTTTAAAGTACGAGGCGTATTCAAAAGATAAGGGGAATTTTAAAATTTTAATGATATACATGCCCCTGAAATGCGATAAAATTTTCAGCTGTATTAATTGCGTACTTAGTCTGTAGCAGTCGCTAAGGTAAGACGTGTTTTTATGAGCTTGGTGATTTTCCTTTGTCAACAGCTCTCACCTACTCGATTATTCGTAAATTCGTGGCCAAAAACAATATAGTAACGATGCCGCAGCCTCTATATTCGCCAATATCATCGCTTCATATTTCCAAAAAAAAAACAGATAACCGAAAGAGCTAAAGGCTATCCCAAAAATCGAGTTTGAGAAGTGTTTCGACGCTTGGAAGAAGCGCTGGCATAAATGTATAATAGCGAATGAAGACTATTTTGAAGGCAAAAACATTCATGAATAAATAAATATTTTTTTCACAGAACGAAAATCCCAATTATTATTTGAACGTAGTACTTCGTACATCCAAACTAAAGATTCTTCCACAGCAAAATTAGTTTAGAGGAGGCTTATACTATTGGACAGCTTTACGTGTAGGATGCATATACAGTATATATTAGTTTTTTCAAGAATTTTTTATATACAAATACGATTGTTTCTATTAGAAAGTCATTCGTTGAACCATATATATCTATATACACGCTGTGCAAATAATTTTCTGATTGCGAAAAAGTTCTATTTTTCTATTTTTCTATTTCTTAATAACAATTTAAAAAAACTATTAATTTCATACTTTCGATGTATTTTATAATCTAAAATTTACTCACTCTCCGACTATGTATATTCATTAGAAACCTTTTTTTTTTTAAGTTGACTGTCACAAGTAGATTAAATGTAACTATACACATATATATTATATATAAACTTAAAATGAAAAATCGATAAACCGAAATTACTTGTAATCATGCAAGGCGAAATTAATAGTTTTTCACTTGGAGTTAACTATCTCCAGGCAAGCACTTTTTTGTCTGTATGTACATTAACAGCTACAAAAAATGTAACTGACTTTTTCATGAAAGCAAGCATTTTACATATCGGACCAGCTATTAACTTACAATAAGCGCTGGTATATACACACATATATGTATATACATAAATATATATCATAAGTATATAGGTATGAATGTAGCTGCTTGTGTTGAACCGCACACATTGCCGAAGTGAAAGAAAAATGGTAGCATTTAAAACCAAAAACACAACAAATACGACTAAAACAAAGCGAATGAAATGCATGGAGAAAAAATTACACGGAGCAGACGCAGCCAACGGAAAAGTCAATAAGGGAGTGGCCACGAGCGAGCGCTCAGCCAATCGCAGCGACCGGAATCGCACACATGCAACAAGGGTGAAGATGCCAAAGAGAGGCGGTAAAACGTAGCCACGCACACACTCACACACATACACACGTGACACATGCATGCATGTATGTGTGTGCGTGTGTTGGCTATTGGCACGTTGTTAGTATGTCTGGCTAAATATTGGGGCTTTGTGGTGGCGACGTAGCGATACAAGTGCGCAGCTATGCTAGAACGAGAGCAAAAAGAGCGAAGAGAGTGAGCGAGTGCGCAATAAATACAAAGCAAAGTTTTTAGCAGACAACAGGCCAGCGATAAAACAGCGAAGTAGTTAAATAAAAAGGTTGTGGATTTGGAAATGAAATTAAAATGAAAGAAAATACCGAAAATGAAATGTATTGTGTATGCAGCGTGCTGGAGGTGGTGGAGAGTGGGGTGCGCATTAGTTGGGGGTGGCGTGAGCGGGGGCTTAGTAGTTTGACTAACTGTACATATTACTTATACAAATAGTATATATTTGTGCATACAAATTAACAACAGTTACTTAGTGCTATTGGATGAATGAATGTAGTAGTTGGGTAGCAAAGAGGGACACATAGAATGCTAGCATACACATGCTAGTAATGGCTTTTATAATATACACACATACACATATGTATGCATGTCTAGAAATGTACTGCATATATAATCGCGTCTATTCACATTTACGAATATTTGTAATTAAATGTGCGTGCTTGTATGCAATTTATTGTCAACTGTCAAATTGCTGTTGTTGTCGAGCTAACGAATCGAACGCCAAATGCATAAAAACGAAGTAAAATAACAGAAAAAATTACTCAAAATGTTGCACGTTCACTCGCACTTTACACATCCGACAGATACGTCAGACACAAACAAATGTGCAGTCTTACTCTTGTCATATAGCAACTACATTTAACCGATACTAGTACATATACATACATATGTATGCCTGTAGGTCTAGGTATGCATCGACACACACTAAGGCAGCCACAAGCGTGTGTGTCTCTCTGCTTTATTCTTACGTTGTTCACGTCGGCTACCGGAGTTACGCGCCGCGCAGCAGGGCCAAATCAATTTGTTTACACATCCATGCAAACACCAACAATTTCATATACACATATGCACATACATATATACATATACCATATACTATAATATGTACATAGGTACAATGTACTTACAAATTTTTATTAGTTTGCTTTTCTCATTTACTTGCTACTGGCTTTGTGGCGTTCGTAGTTTAATTTGTTCTTATGTTATGGTTGTTGTTATTGTTATGTGTATGTGTGTGTGTGTCGTTGATGTTTTCCAGCAGTTTTACCTTCGCTGTCAATTTCGCTGTTCTCCATCATGCTTGTTTGTATATAGTACACAATATTGTTATTGTTATTGTTCTTGTTGTTGTTGTTTTTACGTGTACTCGCAAAAATGCAATTTGCATTTGACATTTCTGTAAATAATTGCAAATTGTGCAGCACACAAATACAAGCGCAGCCACAAAGGTACAGACTAAGCTGCTAATATGCCTTTATTCACATATAGACATTCCAAAGTATATATGTATATGCATATATGTGTGTATATATCTTGTTTTGAACCTAATCAATTGTGCAGTCAATATATACAGAAATGATCAGCAACACTTCCAGTATGCCACCCGCTGCAAATGGAGTTGCATTTTTGATAAATTTATTTTTGCATATGAAGCCAATATTGTTGTTGCATTTGTAGATTTCCCGGCAGATAATGTGTGTTAATATGAAGGACAGCTCTGTGGAGCGCCACAGAACTTTGGGATTAGAATAGATGGCCCGCATTCCATCTAGCGTGTAACGAGGCGTCAAATTTATTTCGGCATCGGAATTTATTTTGCATGTATCCATTACAGTATTTGTATGGGTGTGTTGACATTTTAAATGGAGT